TATAGAGGATAATAATGTGCTTTTGCTTTTGCTTCTGTTTCTTTTGTTGTAGATGTTTTTTTCTTTTGCAGAGGATATTAAACCTGGAGGTTTGTTATTCGGATTTCTTATGCAGATGATATTGAACATGGTAGGAGGAAGATAACGGTGTACTTGTGCTTTTACTTATGTTTCTTTTGTTGTGGCTGGTTTTTACCATGTCGTTGATTTAACTATGTCTTTGGTTTGTAACTTGATTAGTAACCATGCAAAACAGCTTTTACAATTTAATATTTTTTCTTAATTTGTGATTGTTCTTTAGATTTTTACATTTCATATAAGCATGTACTTTGCATCCCTTGTATCTCAGATTAAAAAATACATTATTTTCAACCACAAAATGTCTAACAAAGCATTAGAACAGTAATTATAAACATCTTACCATAACTAGTAGAAGAAGAAGTAAAATTAAACCATTACCAAGACATATTTTTCAAGCTACGACATCCAACGTACATTCTCGAAGCTTCTTCTCAAACTTTTTTACAACGGCTTCGCACTTACATGTCTCCATTTCTATATTTCCTATCTTAAATTCATAGGACCGTTTGTGACCAAAAAAAAAATTCATAGGACCGTTAACCTTCCTCTAGTGTAACTGCACCTCCTTCAAAGTTATCCATCCATCTTTTGTATCATGTCTTCAACCTCTTCAACGACTAATTGCGGTTATTCGTCCATCTTTTGGTTACCACGTTTAAACATAGCAGTCAAATAATTTTTGAGCGGTTGTAAAGAGGTTATTAAACAGACGGTGGCTAGAAATGACGGAATAGAAAAGACGGTTGAGTTGAAGAAAGCGGTTTATAAAATTGTTATGATTGGTTACAAGCGGTTGAATAATAAACGTTTTTTTATAGAAAAATATCCAAATATAATTTTAAAAAGATATAATGATTTTAAAATTTTAGTATGATTTTTAAATATTTCATAATAAAATTATATATATACACATATATTTTTTAAAAGAAAAAAAATATTTTAACTTTTTCTTTAAAATCCAAACGTGATATATCTATATATTTGCATTATCTGTGTACATATTTGCATATATTTATCCTCTGTTTAGCATCATTCTGCATCATTTAAACATATTTTAGCTATAGTTTAGTTCAGATTTGCATTTTAGAATCCTAGGTTAGGATTGTACATATTTCTCTTTTTTTACCCTTTTTCAGGTGGTACTTGTGCTTAATTGGAGTTATCTGGCTTACTAGAGCCTTGAGAATTGGAGTGGAGTACAGAAGAGTGGATGTGCAGAAGGATTGCAAGGTTCTGGAGAAAAACAGGGAGCAAAGGTTGCGGGAATCAGTCTTGAATCATCAGGAACACAGGTGAGAAACACCTGGAGTAGTGGAAGGATGGAGTCTCAACCAATCTATTAAAGTTCATACACTTGGGTGAGAATCAGGACTGCAGTGCCCTCAAATATGTGCACAAATATCCCAGGTTATCTCCTTGTTATGATGGAGTATCAAGACTCTCCGACCGTTGGACCAGACACATCAAACCGGCTGAAGAATAAGCAGAAGAAACCGATATCCCCTGATATCGGCACCCACTGATGAGGAAGACCGATATACTGCACCCATCGAGGGGCTGGTATCGCGACACGAGAGGTGTTGGACGCGCTGGAGGCGCAACGGAAATTGGTCACTTCTCTGATATGGAGTGACCGATATTTAATGCATTTTGTTGTCTTTTCCGGGTCGACCGTTGACTCGAACTGGATGATTCGTTTATGCTTCGGATCGACCCGGGTACTGTTATAAGGGGTATAAATATGTTTTTAACCCCTGAAAAACCTAAGTTCTTCTTTTGTTCTTCTTTCTTTTTACGTTTTTAAACTTTTCATTTACGCTTGAGTTGTAATCGACCCTTAGAGCATCGGATTTTTGATGTTCTAAGTTATTTTCATTATAAAATTGCAGTCTTTAGCTTAAAGTTTCAATCTTTACTTGTTAATCGCACTTATCTTTGCATTGCATCATTCGCACCTTACCCGAGCTCAATCATGGTTTTTTCCATAGCCATGAGTGAGTAGTTAGCTTGTCGAACGTCGGGTTAGCAGATCTAGAAGCTTTAGAGAAACGGCTAACTTAATCTCGGCCTGTGTATTAAGTTTCTCGAGCTTAGATTGTGGATAAAGCTTGGTTCTTGGCTCCGGCCTCGAATCTCGTCTAGAGGTATTCCGCTGCCCGAAAGGTGTTTGACGGAATGCCGGACCGACCTTTTGCTCGGCTTAGTGATCCTTTGACCGCGAAAGTGAGTAGAGGCGCTAAGTGAGCTTATTGGGGCTTGAGCTTTAAGCTTGGAGAGTACTTATATCTAGTAGCGAAAGCTTATTAGATGTTTGTACTCAACATAGTGGTTAGTAGCATCACGAAAGTGGGATAACCTATATTCGTGCCCCATGCTTAAGACTTATGCTTATTGGTTAAAGGCCCTGGTTTTGTTAGCCGCARTMTGTTGATTCTCWTCGWTTGCTAATCYGATGCTTGAYAYYTCCCATTATCATTGCRTACAYCTTYACATCTYTGTTTTGTGCATTCTCAGTATTGTTACATTTCTGATTAGTTTAGAGCAACTTATCCAAACTCTTTTTGATACTTTAGATTAACCGAAATACTCTTTGGTCTAGTACTCTAGGTCCTTGCCTTCCCTGTGTTCGATCCCTATCACTTGCTGCAATTGAATCATGAGTTAGGTTGTTAGCTTGGTTAGGTTTTATTTGCATAGAAGAAAACCTACTCATCAAAACGCCTGTTTGATAAACATTGCAAACTCACCTATTTTTTAGCGGTTCACAAACGCATTGTTTGAACATCTAAACCTCGTTTGCAACCACCTATTTCAACCGTCCGTTTCAACCGCTCGTTTCAAACGTTCGTCCGATTGGTAACAAACGACCGGTTGAACCACGCCTTCTTTTCAAAAGAGATAACCAATCTCAGCTATAGTTATTTGCAACATTAACAAACCTTGATTCAACAGTCCCTTTGGAAATATGATAATAATATTTGCAACATTAACAAACCGAGACTTCAGTCAATAAGACTATATTCATCATTTGTACAATGAGAACATAAATTGCAACACTTACTTCTGAAAAAAGCGTGGAAGAGTCTCCCTGGATGTTCTTGACGTCCTCATCACAACTACATGTCAACATCTGCATATATTCTTCTTGGTCTCTCACCCCTCTTCGCAAAAACCCGAAATCTATCATAATCCATTTATCTATTTTACCCAAAATCTGATACGATTCATAAAATTAAAATAAAGAGAGAACAAAAATGAGGCTGAAGAGAGTTCCCGGCTTTACGATCTCTCCAAGATCAACAGCCGAGAGGTGAAGGTGAAATGCTAATTTGTTTGTTCATGGTTCCTTTCATGATGTAAAGAAACATGTATCTGCGATTCCAAG